AAGGTATCTATTTGGAAAGGAGTGATCCGATTCAGAAAGAGGGGCAAGCTAGGACCCCGGTATATTGGGTCGTTTAAAGTGATCGCGAGGGTGTGTAGGGTAGTGTATCGCTTGGAGCTACCTGCAGAGTTGGGTCAGATTCATGACACTTTCCATGTATCGCAGTTGCGGAAGTGTATAACAGATCAGTTGGCAGTGGTGCCATTGGAAGACATTCAGGTGGATGTGAGCCTGAATTATGCTGAGAGACCGATGGAGATCAGGGATCAGAAGATCAAGGTTTTGAGGAACAAGGAAGTGCCTCTGGTTTTGGTTCAGTGGCAACATCGGAAAGGGTCCGAACTGACTTGGGAGCCAGAGCATGAGATGCGTGAGCAGCATCCAGAGTTATTTCCAGAGTGAGACTTCGAGGGCGAAGTCCGATTCTAGTGGGGGAGAATTGTAACAGCCGGGTTTCGTGGTATATTATTTTATTTATTTATTTTGAATTATGAGAAGGAACTCGGCGAGTTGATGCGTAGACTCGCCGAGTAGGGTCGTGATTGTTCATCCGGATTCACCTTGGACTCGGCGAGTCCATGAGTGGACTCGACGAGTCAACTCTGTTTAATGAAACCCTAAATCCCCTGGGTTTGGAGCCTATTTAAGGGCACTTATAGTCTCTCATTTCGGCTACAAATCCCTTGAGAGAACCCTAAGTGAGCCAAATCGTTGTGAGGAAGAAGAAGTCATTTTTGATCCTTGTACCTTTGGTTTAGCAAGAAGGAGGTGAACAAGAGAAAAGGGGAGGTGCGATTCTATCAGTTCCAGAGTTCAGAGACTCCATTTTGAGGTAATAGTTCGAACCTCCTTCAGTTTTGGTGTTGATCATTAGAGTTAGGGTTTTCTAACACCTTTGGAGAGTGATTATGTGGATCAAATGGTCCCTCTTCGAGTTTGTGCCTTGGATCTGGATTCAAAGAGGTCCATAGACCTTAACCCTTGGAGCTTTATGGATCAGTTTTGGTGTTGATCATTAGAGTTAGGGTTTTCTAACACCTTTTGATGCCTTTTTGTTATTATACAAGCATCAAGTTTCGAGCTTTACGTGACATTCATGCTTGGGAAGGCCAAATCTTTGATTTAGGGAAACATATCTGACCTCAAGAGGCGAGTAGAGTTTGTGCATGGCATGAAATCGCCGAGTTGTTCCTGAGACTCGGCGAGTAGGGTAGGGGTTTCACGTAAATTGATCAGTGAGTGGACTTGCTGAGTTGGGGGATGACTCAGTGAGTCAGAAGGGAGTTAGAGGACTGGAGTTCAAGGCGGTACTCGCCGAGTTGTTCTTGAGACTCGGCGAGTTGAGTCGTGGTGGCCCCGCGATTCATGCCTAGTATGACTTGTCAAGCATAGGGAGGGACTCGGCGTGCCAAGCGGGACAAAGTGTTAGAGAGCATGTGTGAACTCGCCGAGTCACCAGGGTGCACTCGGCGAGTAGGGTCAAAGTGTGACCGTTGACCTTTAGGGTTTGGTATATGGAGTACTTGTGTCGAGAAGGGGGTAAAATAGTCTTTTACCCTCCTGAGGGTGCCAATGGCAGGACGAGTCGAGTTTCGAGAGTTATATTTATAAGAGTATTTATTTTATGTGAATAGGCGGAGACTAGGCAATATTTCTACTGAGTCAGAGATTTACCGAGACGCCTGAGGTGAGTCTTCTCACTATACTTTACCTAGTGTGGTAACAAAGTTATGTGATAGAGTATTTTAGAGTTATATGCCAGTGTAATTGCATGTTATTTATGTGCTATGAATTATTGTGATATGTGCTATGCATGATTCAGAGTTACAGAGTTAGGACTTTCGGGTCCATAGAGTTAGGGCCAGAGGGCCCATAGAGAGTTGGTGCTGGAGGGCCCCACTGAGACACATAGACCTGAGGGTCAACAGAGTTACAGCCTCGAGTGGCTATTATGTGTTAGAGTGGTATTTTGGGGAACTCACTAAGCATTTATGCTTACAGTGTTATGTGTTATGTGTTATGTGTTTCAAGTACCAGTGGTGATCGCGGGAAGGCGCCGACATGATTCGTACACACGCATACCGGAGTTTATATATATTTTGATCTTGGGTTTTGTATTAATACAATGTTTTGTTTATGATTTGAAATGATATTTTATGGGTTACAAAAGTGAAAAATTGTTCAAATTTTTACGGTGTTACAAAATACTTACCAAAAAGTGAAGTAATGGCTCAAGAACACTTCCAAAAAGTGGCTGGAAGTAGAGCGAAAATAAGCTTCCTTGTAAGGTAAGAAAAGTGTAAAAGTGTGGAAATGATCAAAGTAAATCAAGAAAACTTCCAGGGATTTCCTTACATAGAGGGTTGATGGAGCAAGTTGCAAAGATGAAAGGATGTTTTCCTTGGTTTGTGTGGTGTGGATAGGGTTGGGTTAATGGGGAAGTGACACATGGAGGCAAGTGGGCACACTTGACCCACTTGTGGGGTAAAATATCCTTAGATATTTCTATTAATGAAATAATGATTTTATAATTAATAAATCCCTGGGATATGAATAAATATAAATATATAGGGTCTTATATGTCAAAATATGAATTTGGGTGAAAACCCCACGTTAAAATCATGAAAAATGGGTTTAAAACGCGAAAAGGGTCAAAAACTGGGAATTTGAGGCGAAGTCTGCGAGGTCGGGGTCGGAGGTTCGGTCCTCGTCATTAGATCTGAAGGTAGGTTCACTTGCTTGATAAGAACCGAGAGAGGGGTTTGGCTGAGAAATCTCACAGGCGAGCAGGAAAAGGGAAGCGAAGGTGAAAGTAGGGATAGAAGTGAAGGTGAGGCTCGGCTTCGGTCTGCGAGGTTTGGTCTGCTTTGTAGTTTCGGTTCTGATGTTTTGGTCCTAAGGAGTTTCGGTTTTGAGGGATTTCGGTCCTGAGGAGTTTTGGTCCTCTTAGTTTCACTTCTTAGGATGTTTGGTTCCTAAGAGGCTTCGACCCTAATTAACTGGTTTTCCATTTATCTTCTCGTTAAGCGTGATTTTTGGCTAAATTAAGGGTCGGGATGACCCGAATGACTATAAAAAGTTGAGAGAGATTTTGAGAGAGATTTGGGAGAGATTTGAGATAAATTTGATTCTATTCAATATTAATGTATAATCTCGCAATGCAAGGTTCGTGAACCCCGTTATACTTCGTTTATGATTATATTAAGTCCCCAAAAGGGTCCATAGTCATGTTTTTGATGTGTTTAACTCCCTTCTTTGGGTTTCACATTGATAAACTCATAAATATCCGTGAAACTTGAATTCTTGACATACTAATGTACATTTTCATAGAGTAACTTTTAATCATACAAGTATTAGATAAGTTTGATCGGTTTGACTTTGACTTGTTGACTTTGACTTTGACTTTGACTTGAATTTGACGGTTGTCACACAATAAACCATAAGCACAAAGCTTAGTGAGTTCCCCAAAATACCACATACCATACATATCAAACATATAATGGGCACCGCTCGTCATCGGGCACTGCCCAACATAGTGGCTCTCTTGGAACAGATATGTCAGTAATATGAGATGGGCCCTGCCACATCACTTTCATGAGGCCCTGCTTGGCATCGGGCCCTGCCCGTTATACATACAAACACATAAACACATGCAAGAATCACAAAGGTAAATATCATACAAGATATTCATCAAGCCCGACCCGATATACATATAAACAAATAAATACGTGTATGAGTCACAAAAGTAAATAACATACAATATAAATTCATTAGGCCCCGCCTGGCATTGGGCCCCACCTGGTATACATATCAGATGTCATACATACAGATTCACACAAACAAGTAGCATCCTAATCAATATAAACCACGGGCCGACATTGCTAACTTCGACCCGCCAAACACATCGAGGAAACTCACCTCAAGCTGCTGAATCTCTCAGATAAAATCTCAGACTTCTAATTCAGAAAATCCCCGTGCTAGCATCATCAAATAATACACAATTAATAATTGGTTCACAACCCATAGTTGGAATCCTAGTCCGATTGTCTAACACCCATAGTAAATGTCCATTTTACCCTTTCCTCACTTGGACCGAATTCCAAGGCCCAACCCAGTAGCACCAAAAAGCCCAATATAGACCAACTTCCTGAATGGGCCCAAAATCCCTATTGGCCTAACCCAAGAAGGCCCAAAGTCAGAAAATTAGTGACCTATTAAGGACCAAAAAGCCTAAAACAGCGTCTCAGGTCGTGACCACACCTTGGTCACGTCGTGAGAACCCATCCGATCCGCATTACTGACTCGATCCTAACTCAATCAACTCAGTAACTCGATTTCTTTGTGCTCACATTGTGAGACCTCATGTCTCATGTTGTGAGAATGTCCTGAAGCTAAAACTAAGATCAAATGTGCTTAATCCATTTAGCTATAAAACCCAACTTTCACAGAGGCTTAAGGGGGCTTCCAAGGTCAATAAAAAGGATTACTTGATGGCCATGCATGTCCTTAACCTACATTTGATCAAATAAAAAGAAATGATCCCAAATTCATACAAGATTCATAAATTACCACCAAACTTCCTATCCAAAAGATGAGCTGCTCAAGGGACCCTTAGAGATCATAAAGTTGCCAATTTTATGGATCTCTTCCATGCAAACTTCAACATCCATGAATGAAAAGGGACACATATCTAGATTTAGAAATTTAAACTTATAAAGGTCGAATCTTGGACACTTACAAAGGTCCAGAGTATGCACACAATGATGATGATGATGATGAAGCTTGCTTGCTAGACCAACACTCTAGAACATATTCTCCTCCTTCTTTTAGCCACCAAATCACCAAAATGGATCCAAAATCACCAAAATGGATTAAGGTTAGTTTCTTATTAGTCACCAGCGTCTGGAATAGGCTGATTAGAAGAAACATCATCATCATGAGTATCAGCAACATCAGTCGGCTCTAGAGGATCAACTTCAGCTTTAGTCCTTTCAGTCCTCTCAAGTTGAGATATAATAACCATTTGCATTAGCTGAGGACCCCTTGATAATTCTCCCCCTTTTTGGTAGCATTAGATTACGGAGGAGAGTAGAAGGAGTTTTTGGAGGAGGATGTGATGGAGGAGAAGGTGGTGGAGGAGGTTTATCACTTGGAGAGTTTGGTGGAGTGTCATCAACAACAATATCATCCACATCTTCACCATCCAAGGCCATATATCTATTCATTGTGGCCACATTCCTTTCAACTTTAGCCAAGCTTTTATTTATTGACCGAGTTAACTGTACAAGTAAGGATAGTTATGAAAGCACAATAATTTCAAATTTGGAGCTAGCTTATCCTTGCTCACCCTGATAAAGAACAAAAATATTAATGGGTGATGGTGTAGGAGGATCCGTTCAGCTTGATGGACTGTATCAGCTTGAGGAAAAGGAGATGGTGTGAGAGAAGGTTCATGCTGGACCATTGGCTTAGTAGTATCTCCAATTGGAGGGATTGATCCACAATTTTCAGTGTCATCATCCGGGGAAGAAGATGAAAAACATATGTGCTTGTTTTTCCTTGCAGGAGAACTCATATTTTGAGTGAAGTCTTCTCCTATGTTAGCTGTTGAATTATTTTAATCTTTATCAGAGTCTTCTCCATTATCAGCTCCTTTTTATGACCAACTTCTAAATTCTAATTATCATTAACTTCTTTATCACCAGTATCATCATTTTCATCACCCTCTTCAGAGTCTAAGGATTCAACCACATAGGGATTTTCAATCCACTTTCTTATTCTTGCAGTAATACATAGATCATCAATAGATGGGGCAACATTGATGATTTTCGAGGAAAGAGTAGGAATTGGAATGATGATCCCATGACTTTCAACATAGCCTTGTTTATGAGACAAGTTCAATCCAAGACAGCGTATGTTAGGAACATTCATTGGTCTCTTGTTTCCAGAACAACAATCAATCAGTTGATTAAGAAAGATTTGAGCAAAAAGTTAATTTCTTGTTGTAAACAATGGCATATAAGATTCTTTGCTCAATGAGATTCAGCTGATCCAAACTTCCAGTCTTGTAACCAAAACACTTTCCAATCACTCCTGTTAAATATTTCCATCCTGTATTGAAACATTGACAAAGAGTGTTCCTATAGGGATCATGAGTGAGGCCCTTGAGTTTGAAGTTATACCTTAGTTTCTGACGAATAGTCTTGCAGCTATCTCCAGAAGGAGTTTTAGAGTATCTATCATATAGGTGAAGGCATAGAGCAGTTCAAATGGTTTCCACATCAATAATAATCCTATATTGACCATCTCCAATGGTTCTAAATATGCTTCAAGCAATGGTATCAACATAGCATGTGTAGTAGAACTCAAATACTTGTTTAGGGTAGAAAGGTTTCAGAAATTTGTAAAATACATACCGAAGTGGACCGCTTTTGACAAACTTGAGAAAATCTTCGATTCCATAATTTATGAACTTCTTTGGGATTTCATTTGAGAATGTCATTTTTATTGATTGAATGATGATGGTGGCATCAGAGGCATGAGGAATTTTGATGAAGTTAGCGCTGGGAGCAAACTCGTACAAGGGATTTGACATGGTGAAAGTTGTGAGGAAGATGACGATTGAGAGTTTTTTTGAGAGAATGCCAATTGCTTTTGAATCTCTTGTGAAATTGACCTAGCGAGTTGAATTCCCAATATATACCCAAACATTATCTTCTTTTTTACATAATCATGAGAGAAGAGATACGCACCGTAAAAATCTCGTATCCAAGATAATGATGTTATTTAAAATGATACCATTTGGATAAGATAGATACTTTAGACACGTCATCTACATTAGCGTAATCAATCAGTGAGAAGATTGATTAATATGTAGATGGTTTGAGATGTCTCTTGATAGCATGGGATTAAACTACCATTCACTGACATATTATTTCGAGATCTCATTAGTGTGTGGTTTTCATACACTGTATCATAAATATATTTTATTAGAAGAAAAATGGCAAGAGTGGATAGGTGCGTGTAATATATCATGGACAATTATATACCCATCGATACAGATTTGTCAAGCTCTCATCAGCATATGGTACATTATGCTAAATCATAAAAATTTAAAGAAGAATGTAAGGACAAAAATGGATTGTTTCAGTCACACTGTGGTGAAATCAGCATGAATCATTAACAGTTTAACTCATCAACAAGGAGTGGTTTAAACTTCCGTATCATAGAGTAAGTTACAATCTTGAATCAAAGATTCACCATTAATTCATAATGGAACCATGTCTACATCAAACTAGGAGATCAAGGACATGAAAAACCCTTTGTCATTTGAGGACCCGAAAAGTATCTCTTACACTGATGACTATGCAATCAAGGGAAGCCATTGGGTTATGCTCAATATTTCAACAGAACATGAGACTTGATGCATACGACAAGCATGCTTCTAGGGAGAGGGTCAGGTAAAGATGATTAATTTAAGAATAATAAACACCCTAGCCTTTTTATCAATATTTTTTCATTTGGACCAGGCCATCTCAATTATGAGATTTTTAGATAATGCTAGACAATCAACATGATAGGGTGACGCAATGTTCGCAGCAGATGGTGTCACTAATGAGAGACCTAGAGAAATTTAGTCACATACATCAGCATGCTTCTAGGGATGATGATGTGTTAAAAGTTGCATAATTGACATTGTCAGATTCCTTTTATATAAAATAGTACAAAAAAAATAACATAAGAATACAAAAAAAAAAAAAGAATTAGTCAAACAAGAAATAGTCTAAACATAAAAATATGTAGCTTTTTTTAGAAAAGTGATAAAGACTTGATCCGTCAAATCTTTAGAGTTGAATGGTTATTAATGCCCTTCCATTTTTTTGAGATATCTACCACTTTTAATTTCTACTATAAAGGAGAACAAACAAGAGCAAACATATCACACACAAATAACATAGATTATAGAAAACAAGGGAGAGAATGCCTTTAGTTGTTAAGGTTCTACAGATCGATTCCAAACTTTATGTTCACCAAGAACAACCAAAGTTAGAAAGCATGATTTTGTTGTCAACTTTTGAGGGATCTCAATGAATAGAAATATCATTCTCCCTATCTCATTGAAACATAAATAGTCGAGCCAAGACACTTATCCCCTATCTCATTGAAATAGAAATATGTTTGTTCTCGAAAGAAGAAATATGTGCTAAGAAGACCACTTGATGGCACAATTTCCCCTATCTATTCTTATCAGCTGAAGAAAAGATGCAAAGTTGGCATCAACGACTTTTCACAAGGGGAATGATACTTTCAAGAAACGACACACAAAGTCCTTGAAAGTAGATCCATTAGAGAGAGTCATTATTGATAGAGAAGATCATGTAGGAAATTTTAATAGAAAAGGAAAGTGTATTCACAATGTGTACTTCTTTGGTAAGTAATAAAAAAAATTAAATGCAAGCAAATCAAAAACATAAATTAAAAACATAGCAACTTACATTCAAAGTTTTAAAAATAGCAAAGCATAAAACAAAAGTAAAGTATCAGTGTCAAACTTAACAAATCAAACCATATAAATATCATTCTCCCTGAGAGCAGAAAGCATGATTTTGTTGTCAACATTAAAAACTTTTCCCTCATGATGGTTGAAAAGAACTTTGTAACCATCATCACAAAACTAACTGATAGAGATGAAGTTGCCTTTCAGTGCTTCTACATAGAATATGTCCTTCAACTTTAACGTTGTGCACTCAAAAGTTCCAACACATGAAACAGATCTTCAACTATTGTCACCAAATGTCACCATTCGACCATCTTTATTCATAAAATTTGTTAAGAGAGACTTGTAACCAGTTAGCTGTCTAGAGCTTCCACTGTCTAGGGTACCAAGTTTGGCCTAGGCTTGGACTTGATTCAGCATCAGTGTGAGAACCATCAATCTCACATATGCCGTTAGGGGAATCATCTAAAAGTGCCATGAGACCCTTAACAATCAATGCTTCATCTTCAGATGTCTCTTCTTCATCCACCCATTCTTTGTGATCCTCATGTTTTTCAATAAAATCCTTTGGCAAAGAGATGTTTTCTTTCTTCATATGAGCTACCATCTTCTAGTACATGATTTCATTGTTCTCAGGACTCTGGGCTTCTTTCTTCTCCTTGCAATCTCTGGAAAAGTTGTCAGGACTCCCATAATTAAAGTAGTAACCTAGGCGTTTCTTGTCTAAAGTAGGTGTTTTCCATGAGCTGCTTCCCTTGGATTGAGCTCTTCTTAACCCACTTCACTATTCTTTCTTCATAACGCTTGACGATAAGTGTAGAGCTGGAAACAAGCTCATCAGTGAGATCTTCATCACTTTGTTCACCCTGAGTTAAATTTTCTGATTCGCTGATGTACTTTATTGTTTCTTTTCGATACATCAGGGAAACACACTTTTCCTTGTTTGAGTCCTTCATGATTTACTTATGAAGAGCTTTAGTCTCTTCATAACTTCTCATATTACCAAACAAAAAAGTTAGATCCATGTAATTGATCTTCTCACCATTCTTAAAAACATTAACGTGATGTTCCCAGCTCTTCCCAAGAGAAACGAAAAACTTTAGAACCAACTATGATGAGTGCTTAATGATTCCCAACATGCACATATCATTGACCAAACAATTAAACCTATTGAAGGTTTGAGTGAGAGACTCACCTTGTTGAGCACAGAAGTGCTCGTATCTTCAATTAAGGTTGATAATGATCATAGCCTGGACTTCCACAATGCCTTCATAAGCCACTGTCATTGTGTCCATCATCTCTTTGGCTGATTCACAATTCTGCATGAGATGATACACAGGGTATGGAATAGAAATTCCAATAGCGGCCCTAGATTTTACAACAAAACTGAGCAGTCTTTTCTCATTGTCAACATAAATTCTTGCTTGCCTTTGTTTCAGAGGGCCAATAGGAGTGTTGTTTTCCATGGGTTGGTACATGGGAACACAGGGACCTTTTTCAGCGATATTTTTCATCTCATAGTCAACAGTTTCTAGAGCCACCATGGCCTTGGTTTTCCACATGGCGAAGTTGTGTTCATCGAAGGGAGATATTTTGTTGAGGCCGAAAGATTTGGAGTTGCTTCAATTCGACATGATAACTAGAGCATATCAGAAACCTGCTCTGATACCAATTAAAGGTTTGTATTGTGATCGGATATACTTCAAGTATAAAGAATAAAAGTAAAACTAATCTAAATGAAATAATCAATAGAAAGTAAATAAAATAGATGTTCTCAAAATGCTCCTTCCACCAAAAGAAGAGGTTTTGTCTTCACCAAGAAGGCAGAGTTTGCCACAAAGACAATTGACACAAAGCCACGACCTAGCACACGACCTCTCTACATTAGTTTTTTTCCCTAATGTAGTATATATACTAATCTATACATGTATATCCCTTGATTGACGAGATTGTATATAATCTATACTAAGAGTCGATCTTATCATGAAGATACAAGATCTGATATATATATATATAATAATAATAATAATAATAATAATAATAATAATAATAATAATAATAACTGCCTAAGTTACAAAAGATTACAACAGAACAACAATAATTTGTCGCTGTTGAACTTGTTAAGTTAGCGTTGGTGTTGTTGACTCATAGATGTTGATGCTAATGGATCAGCATGTTGTGTTTGACTCATCAGATCATAAGGTGTGACCTTACAAGCATAACACTGTATTGCCCGGAAATCGAATTTTAGATAGATGGATTATTAGTTGACAAAATCCAAATAAGAATTGAAGATCTCATAAATAGGAGTTCAACGATAAAAGAAATTCGAAAACAGAGTCCGTATGTTGAAGTTATGAATTTTACACGATCATTAAAAGTGGAATTTTCTCATACGGTTACATTTAAGATCAGTCAAGAATTAGATGATGGG